CTGCGTAAGTCCCTCTATCCTGAGAAAAATTGGACCCAGAGAAGTTGGGATGTCACTGGTTAAAACTGTTAACCTACGTCTCTGCGTTTCTTGTTGTTTGCTAACATATTGCTAATATTCAGAATTCGTGTTGGTCCTAATAAATTCCTAATTTTAGTTCTTACTTCATTGGTTCATTATGAACTGGTGCGTGATGTCTCTCAGTTACCCTCATGCACACTAGCACTTTTGTATCAGGGTCCTTGGTGACACTACTAATAGTTGTCACTTGAGTGCTGCTTGCCTGCTGATCTCTCTGGACATTGTCTCACTGCACCTTAGCTTATTAGCCGAGTGGCATTCTCATTTCCTGGCCACACAACTAGGAAAGGGAGGGGGGTCATCTTGGGATGTGGATTCGAGTCTCCATGGATCCCAAGCCCATCTGTCCTTCCTATCGCATCACCCTGCACAAATGTGGGAGATGATGTGACCTCCCAAGTGGTAAACAGATTAAGTAAACAGAGGAAGGTGCAGTAAATAGGCAAAAGATGCTTTCATATCAACTCTTTTATTTTCCCTTCATAGCAGCGATGTGGACATGGCATAAGTGCATCCATTTTGAGAGTTGAGGAATTGGTGGCGAAATACCGTTTGATGCTTGGTGCTGCCCAGCTGGTTGAAATGGCACCAGAATTCAGATTGTTGTCTTACTCCTTCGCTCACTGACTTTTGCTCTGTCTTCCCACCTCTTGTCTCATCTTGTCGTTTCAGTGTTCCAGTTTTGACTAGGAAGCATGGCAGAGCTGATGTGATTTCAGGGCTCATGCTGCACTCCTCAGCCAATCAGAAATTGTACAGAGGAGCTATTTTTTAGATCTTTAGCTTGATCTGCAACTCGGTGGCATTTTGTTGACATACTTCATTATCTAGTATTTAAAGAGAATAGTTCTAAACTGTTGTTTTTGTGGCCGTCACCTGTCAGTGTACCGTGCCCATGGGGTCTGGTGTTTCAAGTGCAGGATATTGGATCTTACCTAGACACCCACTTGACCCATTAGGTTTATATTAAAACTTGTTCCTGAGATGTGTTGATGGTGTTGGTGGTGGTAGTAGGAGTACTGATGATAGTGGACACTTACTGAATGTTTACCATGTGCCTGATAGTTTTCTGAGTGTACAGATATTAACTCATTTAATCTGTCAACAACCCCGAGAGATCAGTATTATTATCGTATCCGTTGTACTGATGAGTAAGTAAACTAAGGCACAGACAGGTGAGAGTCATTTGCTGAAGGTTACCACACTTGATGGATAGTTTTGTCTAGGTATATAATTGCTTGCAATTATTTTTCTTCAGACATTTGAAAGACTTGCTCTCTCAGTATACCATTTGTCGAAAGCCATTCTTCCTTCCATTTCTGGCGGCTTGTGAGATCTTCGTCCCCAGTGTGGTGACATCTCACACTGGCTTGCCCTCATTTATTGTGTAAGGTGCTCTCTGGGTACGTGTGTGTGTGTGGGAGGGCTGATGACCATGAGCTTCACAGTTAGGGGGCCCAGGCTGGGCTGTTTCACTGGGAATTCCCAATGTCAGTATCTGCTCGTGGGCTGCTCAGATTTCTCCATAATCATCTTCATTCTCCTGCCTGGAAAACACAGACCTGTCTGCCACTGTTCTGGGGATGTAGAGAGAAGAGGGCTTAGGAGTTTCTGCGTTCTGTGTGGAGACATTGACTTGTCCCCATCTCAGCTTGTTACCTCATTCGTCTGTGCTGTGTGTCCCCCAGTGCAGAGGCCCTAGGTTTTATGTCATCAGAGAAACTTGTAGTCTTCTTTGTGAGTAGAGGGGCAGTTATCTGTAAGGTGTAGAGGAGGGGAGTGAGAATTTTAACTGCCTCTTCTGTAGACTTTTAATCTGTTCTCCTGTGTTTTTAACCTCGCCTACACTTCCCGGTGCCCCCAGTTCCCGGGTCTGTTGGGGCAGTTCTGTAGTGTAGTCAATCTGGTTACATCTTGCCTTAATGCCAATTTAGGATTCATTTTTCTTGTGTCTCATCCATCTGCTTTTAAGCTTCTGAAGTTTTTGTTGCTGTTATTCCCTCTCTGTTCTCTTTATCTGTCATTGTGATTTTATATCTTTAAAAAAAATCTCTTTACTGTGGTCAGGAGGCATTGAAAGTAAATGTGGTTTTAATTTTATTTTTTTATTTTTTATTTATTTTACTTTTTATTTTTTCCCCCCAAAGCCCCAGTAGATAGTTGTATGTCATAGCTGCACATCCTTCTAGTTGCTGTATGTGGGATGTGGCCTCAGCATGGCCGGAGAAGCGGTGCGTCATTGTGCGACCGGGATCCGAACCCGGGCCGCCAGCAGCGGAGCGTGCGCACTTAACAGCTAAGCCACGGGGCCGGCCCGTAAATGCGCTTTTAAAACATCATTTTTATCTGGAAGTCCTTGTTTTGAATTTTCATATTTTTTTTTAACAAAATGCCAATGTATTTCTAAAGCCTTGTATATATTTAATATGTCACAGATTTTATGTGAATTAATCACTGGATTATATTCCATTAGAAGATTTACTACTACCAGAGCTCAGCATTTATTGCAGATATTATATATGCATCAGGCTTTCTCATCCACTTTATTTTGTATTCAAGTGGATAACCTATACACTACCTTGTTTGTTACACTTAGTTTGCTTAACACTTGAGCAGTTTTTTAATTTTGTTTTTTGCTTTGTTTTTTTTTACAAGTTCTTTAGATGTTTTGTGGCCCAAATTATTAGAGTTTGAACTGGATTTTTGGGTGGAGGGGTATTTATTCAGAGTCTAAACCCATTGTTAACTAGATTTCTATTTTTACCGGAAGAATCTCTGGGGATTAGGTTATCCAATTATGTTTGGTAAATTAAATCTCCCATGGCTGGTTTGATCTTGTATTGGGAGATGTTGCTCACAGGGTGAATTTAGTTGATTGGCTTTCTCTTTTTAAATTTAAGAAACAATGTTATTTATTGTAGGATACATGTCTAATTTTTAAAAATTCATATCACAAATAAAAGTTAATTATTGTCAGCTCATAAACCATATTCAGATATATTAAATCATGGTAGTTATTAAAATGATATGAAACTAAATTTAGAAACATGGCTAAGAAGTAAAGTGGAGGGCCTTGTATTTATTACCAATTAGAGTGCAGTAAAATGACATATTAAAATGCTTTTCTGTTTTCAGAAATATGGGTTGTTTTTTTCTAATCAAATAATACATACCCAACATTAGTGCCAGTCACTAAGTAAAAGTACCCCCACATCAAAACAAGAGGCAGTGCATCCATAGTGTCTGTGGAATCCTATTAAAATGTGTGTATGTATTCGTATTATTGTTTCTTTCATTCTGTTTCCTTTTCTGAACCAGATTGGGTTATACCATAGACATACAGAGGAAAAGTCCTTTTTTAAAAAAAAAGAAAAAAAGGAAACTACTTTAAAATTATAATTGCCTTGAAGTTTTTTCTAAATCAGGTCATGCAAGTCTACCTTAATCCTTTTTATGGCTGCATTATGTTTCACCATAAAGATGTGTACTACATTAGGGTTTGGTAATCCAATTAACCTTAAAAAAAAAAATAAATTCTCTAATTGTATCTGAGGATAGATAGGCATGTTGGAGTAAGTTTTCATAGCCTTAAAGGAAATTTAAGTTAACAGCTGACTCAGAAAAAAAGTTAATTTTTATATTGTGACCTATTTTCTCTGGTAATAAGTTTTTTAAAGCAAAGTAATCTTTTTTGGGATTATTCAAAGCTCAGTAAGAGGTGAAAGGTGAAAGTTAAGAAGATGCATTTTGAGGTATTAGAAATATCCCAGCGTCATTATTCACCAGCTGTGGTGACCCTGGGTGTATTAGTTTCTCTGATTCCCAGTTTATTATGTAAAGCACATAAAGCAGAGATTGATACTGTATTTAGAAAGCTCCTGGCTTTATTACTGTTAATAAACATGGAGGTATCTTGCCAGTGAGGGTGGAAACAAGTGTATGGCTTTGGAAGCTTACAGATGGTTTTCTGGGTGCTGACCCATAGAAGTACGTAAGTGCAGTTCGCCAATGTATCATTTGGGAGCAGCTGAAAGCATAGAAAATAGAACCACAAATGGAGGGGAGAAGGGCCCTGGACAGCGAGATGTAGACATGTAAACAGGAAACTGAAGGGCCCTGGAAAGCGAGGTGTAGACGTGTAAACAGTAAACTGAAGGGGCCCTGCTGAGACTGCATGTCGCTGCCGTCTGGGGGTCCTGCGGTCTCCTGAGAAGAGGAAGGGTGGTGGTGACTACTAGTATTCTTGTTCTCTTCTGGGGTTTTCAAAGATTCAGGGGCATAGGGGTGATGACAATAGTAGTAGCAAACCAATTGGGTCTTGACTGGAGATGGTTTTCCGATTGAACAGTAGATTGCTTCACTCCTTAACTTTGAGTTGGTAGCTTAAGAGAATGGATCTGGGAAGTTTGGACACAACCTTGAAAATACCATTTCAATTCAGGATTTCAGTAAAGTAACACAGTCAATTGGGAGAAAATAAAGTCTGCAGGAAATTGTGCCATTTGAGCGTGGGTGTGGATGAAATGGCTTTTGAACAACCCCAGCCATAGCACAGAGACACCAGGATCCCTGGAAGGCCCTTTTACTGCTTCCTTCACTGGCAGGAAGAAAGATAGGAAATGCACAGCTCTAGGCTCTATGAGCTTTTATCTCCAGATTTTCAACAACAGACCTAGATTAAGGATGTAAAGGAATGGCTGGCTCCTTTAGAATTAGATGAAATTAAAAATTTAGAGATTTTTTGAAACTAAGGAAAGAGAGAAAGAATTACAACACTTTAGAAAAGAAGGAAGAGCACCTACAAATTTTTCTTAAGTTTGAGAAATAGGAAATAGCTTTTTTTGGAGGCTATATATTGACTTTTTTTTAGCTTTTTTTTTTTTCCAAATATAATTTTTTTTTTTTTTTTTTTAACTCAGGGGAGTTGTGCATATCTGAAAATGAAAGAAGGCTTGTTTCTAAAGAGGCTTGGAGCAAACTGCAACAGTACTTTCCAAAGGCTCCTGAGTTTCCAAGTTACAAAGAATGCTGTTCACAGTGCAAGGTACTGATGGCTGTCCTGACATCCGTGAAAATCGCATGCTGCCTCCTGGCTTGACTCCCCGGGAGAATTAACTGTACTTTTAATGGGGGTGTAGGGAGGAGGCACGTCCTGTGCTGTCAGCAGGAGACGCTTGATTGCCTCATTCTCTTTCAGATTTTAGAAAGAGAAGGGGAAGAAAATGAAGCCTTACATAAGATGATTGCAAACGAGCAAAAGACTTCTCTTCCGAATTTGTTCCAGGACAAAAACAGACCATGTCTCAGTAACTGGCCAGAGGTATAATGATTCCCACAAAGGGTAGAATTCATCTGACGTTTTTAAGGCCTTGGCCAAATTCCTGGTGGACTGTTTCAGAACAGCCCAGAGCTGCTCTAATTCTCTTCTGTTTAGTTATCTAATCGGGAGAATTGACTCGAGTTTGCTATTTCTTGGTGGAGGGCTGTATTTCCATTTTATTTATAAAACTTGAAAAAGGAAAACCACGGTATATGGAAAAACATTTTCCCTAAAGGATTTAGGTTAAGGACGCAGTGAATTAATGGCTGCTTTCATGTGATTTTTCTATTCTAGGACACGGATGTCCTCTACATTGTGTCACAGTTTTTTGTAGAAGAATGGCGGAAATTTGTTAGGTAGAAACCAAAAATTTTCTATTTCCTTTTTTTGTTGTTGTTGATTCTAGTATTTTTAAAAATTCGTGGATTCTGATCCTAGTAGCCTTCATGGTTACTCTCACTAGCGTCTACTGAAAGCTTTCTTTTAAGTTAAATGAATAATCCTAAGAAATACATTTAATTACTAATATATTTTTAAATATATCTTTAATTTTAAATAATTATCTTAAAAATCTTCTCTTTCGTCATACAATAGTGATATGTATTGATCTTCCTTGTCTCATTTGAGTAGAAAACCCACGAGATGTAGCCCCGTGTCATCAGTTGGAAACAACGCCCTTCTGTGTCCCCACGGGGGCCTCATGTTTACATTTGCTTCCATGACCAAAGAAGATTCTAAACTGTGAGTTTCTCCTCTTCATGCGGTTTTTCTGTTTCTAATGATTAATAAAGTGTGTTTAGGAAGTTTTTCATCTGACATAAACGGTCTATTTTAGGACTTTAGTCCTTTGCTGAACTGCAGAGTGTTTTCCTTTTATATGCTCTACTCGAGTGAGCACTTGTTGTTTTTAGAAAAGAAAGACGACTTCTCCATAAGAGGCAAGAGGCTCCCCGAGGCTCCCTTGCTCTTTGTTTTTTCCTTCTCTTCCTGGAGCCCTGCTTTCTCCTTCCACGCTGCTGGTAATCAGTACAGTGTCTCTAGGTAGACCTCTTTTCCAGAATTACATAATCAGTGGGGCTTGAGAAATCACCAGGCTTCAGAAAATAGAGGAAGAGGAAGGCAGCATGACACCAGAGCAAAGCCACCGAGCTGGTCTTCTGGAATTCTAGGGTCTCAGCATCAAAATTTTGTTTCACTCAAGAGCTTCCAAAAGGACTCATCTATGAAATTCACCTCTGATGTTGCCATTTTATCTTTTGAAATAAATAATTTTTAAGTAACTATGTAAGAGAAGGTAAAATGCCTCTGATCTTTCCTGTAAACCATGAAAAGAAAATTGAAACACATAAATAAAAATTCTCTTTGGATGCAGCTAGAGTTAGAGAGTTTACTATTCATATACCCATACGTTAACATTAGTCAGGAAGCTTAGAATTAGTATATATTTTCTTCTAGATTCTCCCTCTAGCTCTTTTTTCCCTTTTTTTTTTTTGTTGTTGTTGTTGTAAATGCCAGACATCCAGGAAAATATCTATAATAAAACAAATAAATGTATGCCACCAACCAACTTAAAAGTTAATTCAAATATAATCGAAGGCCCCTCAGTACTTATTCTTTCTTTTATTCCTCCTTTTCTCTCTCCCTTCCTTCCTCTCCCACAATAACCACTGTCCTGAATTTGAAGGTGACTGGTCTCAGAACGTATTCCTTAAAAAAAAAACAACACAACCCACACGTAGTAATGTTATGCATATTTAAAATTTTTTTGTCTAAATGGCGTCATACTATATTTATTCTTCTACAGCTAACTTCTATTCAACTTAGGTTTTTGAGATTTTTTTTTTTGTGAGGGAGATCAGCCCTGAGCTAACATCCGTGCTAATCCTCCTCTTTTTGCTGAGGAAGACTGGCTCTGAGCCAGGAGAATTGCCAATTCTCCTCCTTTTTTTTCCCCCAAAGGCCCAGTAGATAGTTGTACGTCATAGTTGCACATCCTTCTAGTTGCTGTACATGGGACGCAGCCTCAGCATGGCTGGAGAAGCGGTGCGTCGGTGCGCGCCCGGGATCCGAACCTGGGCCGCCAGTAGTGGAGCACGCGCACTTAACCGCTAAGCCACAGGGCCGGCCCAAGGTTTTTGAGATTTACCTGTGTTGATTCACCTAACTCCAGTCCATTAAGTTTCCCTGCTGTTGTAGCTTTCCTTTGTGTGAAAAAGGACTACTCCTTGTGGATGGTGATGTATCTTTCCCCTCTTATTCCTTTGTATTAAATATTGGTTTTGATGATTTGGGTTTAGGAGACTAATGGATTGTGTTAGTTCTCTTAATTTCCATGTGTCTTAAAGCATGTTGTGTTTTTTTGCACAGTATAGCTCTCATATGGCCCAGTGAGTGGCAAATGATACAAAAGCTCTTTGTTGTGGATCATGTAATTAAAATCACGAGAACTGAAGTGGGAGATGCAAACCCTTCAGAAACACAGTATATTTCTGAGCCTAGTAAGTTTTCATATTGCTCTTAGTTTGTATAGTTACAAGTTGACATCTTAAGGGGGAAGGAAAGAGTATGTTAATATTGTATTCTCTACTTAAAATTAAAGATCATGTGGCAGTCCAAAACTAATACATCCCAGGTGGGAACTATCGTATTATCATCTCATTATTTGTATGTTTATTTCTTGGTAGTAAATGAATTTCCGTATTATTATTTGCATATAACAATACAACAGTTAATAGAAAATATGAGTAATAGTTTAATGACTACTCACTGGTAACTTTAATATATACTTTTAGATCTTTGGTTCTTTGATGGTAATTCCTCAGCCACTTCTATTTTACTACTTTTTAGAACTTTGCCCAGAATGCAGAGAAGGCTTATTGTGTCAACAGCAGAGGGACCTGCGTGAATACACTCAAGCCACCATCTATGTCCATAAAGTTGTGGATAATAAAAAGGTACTGATCCCTCTTGTGGCCGTGACCAGTAATGATCAAGCTTGCTTTTTGACTTGCTGTTGGATTTTGCGCTGAGGACTGCCTGGGATCACATTTTTGTTTCCTTGGAGCTATTTGGCATAAGAGTTGAAATTGGACAAGATTGAAAATGAATAGTTACGTGATTCTATGTGGATTTAGTCAGTTATTAATTTGATATACAAATGTTTATTGAAATGTCAACTATGTGCCAGGAATGGTCTTGCTGCTGGGGATACAGTGAAGAAGACAGACACGGTACTGGCCTTCAAGAATATTTGTACCTGGTGAGGAAGATCAAGAATAAACCCGTAATTCATAAACCCGTAATTCATAAATTAATTTGATTTCGCACAGGGAGGAATGTTTAGAGGGAACTTTAGCAGGGTAAAGTGAGAGACTGGCAGAGGTGGAGGTGACACTGTTAGAGAGGGAGTTGACAGGAAAGACATCTTGGAGGAGGAGTTGTTTTACCTGAGCAGGAACTATCAGGGATCCAGGCAAAGGGAACAAAGGCCAAAGGAATAAGCCTAATGTGTTCAAGCAATAGAGTGAAAGTCATTGTGTCTAGAGCAGCTCTGTCTGGTGGAACTTTCTGCAGTGATAGAAATGTTCTGTGTCTGCACTGACCACTATGGTACACTAGACATGTGTCGCTATGGAGCACGTGAAATGTGGCCAGGCTGACTGAGAAACTGAATTGTTAATTCATTTAAACTTAGATAGGCACATTTGGCCACTGGCTGCCATAGTGGGTAGCACTGATCTAGAGTGAAGTTTCTTCCAGGGAGGGTTAGTGATATGGGATGAAGGACCAAATTCTATCAAATTTTATATGTCATAACAAGGATTTGGGATTTCATTCTAAGTGTAGATAAGCCACTGGAGTGTTTCAAGCAAGGTCATGGTGTGATCTGATTGATGCTTTTAAAAGGTCACCCTTGCCATTTGTGTTTGGAATTGGTGAGGGCATAACAGGAATAAGGAAAGCCAGGTTAGATCCTCTTGCACTGATCTACAAGGATCGGTGAAGTAGACAGCTTTGGGTATATTTTGGGAGCAGGGATGTTCAAACTTGCTATATGGATTGGATTTGGAGCATTTTTATTATAATTAGGGATGCCTCATAGGTGATCCTGACCTGGATCTCTGGTCATCTCATTAATTTGATTCCAAGGTTTTGGCAATTAAAGACAAAGTGGAACACAGTTTATTTGATGATAGTTACCAAACATTGTTTTAGAAAGATGACTTATAAATTATGTTTTAAAGGTCTAGGGTTCCGCTTCGCAAGTTGAACTAAGGCCTTCATTTCCTAATTTGCTGAGAAAATGAAGTTAATGAGTATAAATGTCTTAATTTTTCTTTTAGAATTTTCTTAAATCTTTTGTATATATTGCTATCTAGTATAAAATAGTATCCAATTTAGCTAAAGTTTTATTATTTATTTTGGGTTTTATAGCAGGTTTTCATGCAAAAGAGCATCTCCTCCATCCTTCCTTTTCTCAGTCTTAAGGAAGCATGTGACTCCTGCTATCTGCACCGTTTGCAACTTGAAAAGGCCTGACAGTCAATGTACTAGAGAAAATGTAGGGCACCTTTGAGGTTCTGCAAAATAACATCGTTGTCAAAGCCTGATAATAATTGTTCTGCAGAGACTGATTACATTTATGGTGACCACATTAACTACAAGAATAAATCATAGGATAAAAACTAACGTGAAAAGAATACAGAAAACAGAGAGCCCTTGAGTCTTGATCCTCTGTCTGGTCTGTTATCCCTCAGTTGATAAAGGTGTCCCTCCTCTTGATAAAGGTGGCCCGTCAGAGCCCCCGCACCCTCTGTAGCACACCTTCCTAGGGTCTGACCTACTTCTCTCTCTGTTTTCCTGGTGCATTCAGGTGATGAAGGATTCCGCTCCAGAGCTGAATGTGAGCAGTTCCGAAACAGAGGAGGATAAGGAAGAAGCTAAACCAGATGGAGAAAAAGATCCAGATTTTAATCAAGTACGTGTTGAAGCTGCTTTTCATTGTTCAACTTTCTGCTGTTCCGAAAGAGCAGCCACTCCGTGCCCTTGGACGTCTCCCAGTACCCTGTGTGGGACATTGGTTCTCAGCTCCCTTCCTTGCTTTTCCTCTTTCCTTAGTTTTGGTGGCACGCTATAGCTGTCCTGATTTCTCGTGAAAAGCTATGAACTACATTATTCCAGAATTAATATATTTCTTGCTACGAAGTAAGAAAGGCTAAAATATAATGTAATGATTAAATTTTTAGCTGGAAAAGAAGCAAACAAGACCCATGTCTTGGTTTATTGCTTAATCATGGAATCTTTAAGTATAAAAAAATTATTTAACTCATATTCCCTAGTTAGAAACAAAATAAACAATATCTTTAATAATGGAGTTTTTAGACAAGCTTTTCGGGTCTCTAAGGTATTAGATGACCAGATCAGTCTTTCATTGTTCATTGTGATGAACTTAAAATTCTTCTGTTAAAATTGCCTGTTTTCTGTGTATTCTGTTATCATTTTCTTGTTGCTTCATTATATTCTGCATGTTCATAGTGATAATGGAGAAAATTGTCTCAAGGACAGGAAATAATGTGGGAATATGTGTGGTTGATGTATGGTGTAGATAAGTTTCAGCTTCTCAACAAGTCAGACTGCTATGTTCCAGGATATTCTATAGATACCTTAAATTCATGGAATTTCTACTCTAATTAGAGTTTAGTGTTAACAGATGAGATACTTATTTTCTTTCTTTACTGCTAAGATACAGCATAGGCAAATCATGGTTCTTCCTGAAGGAATAAACGTGTTATAATGGCCATCTGCTGGATTTGTCACAGAGCAGAGGTAGCTGGGCTTGTCGGCCTGTCTGTACACACTGATACGGTTACTTCATTTTCAACATTGATTAGGAAAGTCTGAAAAGCGCTCTTGACTTGAATCTTGCTCTCTCCGAGGTAAATGTTACTTGTAGTTTCCCAACTGGTATAGAGATATGTCAGCATTTGTTTTCCATGGCTTGTTGGATCTCATAAAACGTTTACTTTAGAATACCTACAAAAGAACAAAATCGTGCCCTTTTGTACACCTTCCTGCTGGTAGCAGTCAGCCACTCTTTTGTTAACGCTGTCCTACCAGATTTGTATTTCAGTGGGTCAGCATTGGAGGGCCCCTTCGTTCCAGTGCTGACAGAATCTATACATTTTATAGGAATGCAGGTCTTCAGTTTTGAGGGTATGTTTTCCTATAATAAATAATACCCTTATTAAAATCTGTGTATATGTATGCCTTCTGTTCCTTGGGATGGGTTTTGAGATTACTGAGTCAGATAACATCTCTTGATAGGAGTTTGCAAACACATCTTTGCTGCCTTCTAACCTGTTTGTTGTCAGCTCTTTTCCATGTCACCTCTTGTCATACAATCCATCTTCCAAGTCACAGATCTACAAACCAGTTTGTTTGCTGTTTTAGTTGATATATTAAAAATGTTCGTGTACATATCCATCCTGATTTAGGACTCTCCATTCTCTTTTGTTTGCTTGGCTGGCAGTACCATGCTGTTTTTTTTTTGTTTTTGTTTTTTATTTATTCATTTATTTATTTATTTTTTCCCCCAAAGCCCCAGTAGATAGTTGTCTGTCATAGCTGCACATCCTTCTAGTTTCTGTATGTGGGACACGGCCTCAGCGTGGCCGGAGAAGCAGTGCGTTGGTGCGCGCCCGGGATCCGAACCCAGGCCGCCAGCAGCGGAGCACGAGCACTTAACCGCTAAGCCATGGGGCTGGCCCATCATGCTGTTTTAATTATTATCTCTTGGGAGCATGGTTTTAATGAGCAGTCGGGAATCTCATCTTTTTTCAACTCTTTTCTTGCCTGTTGTCACCCACTCTTTTTCTATCCTTTTGGCAAACTTTGTCAATTGGTTTGTAAAGCTTGATATGTGTGCTCTTACTGTCCTTAGTTTCTGTTACTTCAAGCTTTGCTTTTCAGCCTAAGAGTTATTTAGAAAACTCATTACATTTTCAAGTGATTTCGATTTTTGGGAAGCTAACTTTTTTGAATGTCTAGCTTTATTCATTGTGGTCATAACCACAGCAATTTTTTAAAAGTGGATGTGGAATTACTCTCCTCAGTTGTGGATGACAACAGATTTTGCATCTACAGATATGATAGAGAATATTGGGAAACGTTGGTTTTTGTGCTGTAATTATTTTTTATACTTTATCATTTTTTTCTGTCTTCATTCTCCTTGTTTGGATGTTGTAATACTCTAGAATGTTTTAAATATTTTTTGTCCCATAAAAAATCGCGTGTAACCTTCCTTCTTTAGAAAAGAGTAGATGATTCCAGAAGAATGTCAAGCCTCTTCAGAATGTCAGCCTCCCCAGACCTTTTCCTTGTAATATGTTACAGTATCTCAATACATAGATAGCTTCTGTCATTGCTGTTTTAAATTCGTGTAACAGAAAATGATGCATTTCTACTGGTCCTTAATGGAGATGAATGAATTCCCTCTCTTTTCTCTAAGCCAGATCAACCCAGTTCCTTTGACTTTGACCTTATCTACGATTTAGGTTAATAATGCACCCAGTATTGGGTATCACTTAGGTAATTGAAAGCCTTCTAAAACCAGTGGGCTGGTTTTTGTCAGATAAGTTGGATTTAAATTCTATGGATTTTTTTGAACAAATAATTCTGGGAAAAGCTTTTAGACCCATTTAAAATCAGAGTCATTAAAAATATCTTGCTTAATGCCCCGCGCTTTGTCATTTGGTTGTGTTTTGTATTTCTAAAGTAAAATTTTATGTTGCTGTAGGTGTTTTTTCCTTATATTCATAATTGTAGAATTTAGGTCCTGTTTTACCTTTTCTTTTGACAGTCGAGATTGAGAAACATGTTTCATCAACTTTGATTTTTTTTGAACTCCCACGTTCACTTCACTTTTTCTTATGAATGTTGGAGTCACCTATCTGTCTGTTTAGGCTCAGGGCCAGAGCTGAACCAAGCCTTGTGCAGCACCTAGCCGGCGGGCCTCACCCTGAACAAATAAATGCTCTTCTGTGTTTGCGTCCTGATCCTCTTCTGCTTTGTAAATCTCTGGGGCTCCCTTGGTAATGAACATGTGGCATCTGCGCCCATAATGACTCCTAAACCGCTCTGCTTATGCACAGCTGACACTCAGTGACAACTTCGGAAACCAGAGCCGGGGGCGGCCGGGGGGTGGAGTGGGGTGGAGCGGGTTATCTCATCCAGATTTAATTAAATCAGGGGAAAAGATTTTTTTTAAAAATCTTGTTTCGTTCATTCCCTGGCCTGGTTAGCAGAAGAATCTTGACTGCTTGTTAATCTCTTGATGAGGCGTTTGTAGGAGTATTGTAGAAAGACACTTGGTCCTTATCTCTTATATTTCCTTAAGACTAGGACCATATATATTATGTTCCCATATGTATGCCTGCACTTTTTTGCTGAACTGTCTTTAGGTAAATCGTATCCATCGTGACATTTCACCTCTAAATGGTTAAACCAGCATATAAGTAAGGACACTGTCCTGTTGCCCTTCTCAGATTTCTCCAGCTATTCCAAGTATGTCTTAAATTTTTTTTTTTCCGAGGAAGGTCAGCCCTGAGCTAACATCCGTGCTAATCCTCCTCTTTTTGCTGAGGAAGACCGGCTCTGAGCTAACATCTATTGCCAATCCTCCTCCTCCCCCCACAACCCCGACAAAGCCCCAGCAGATAGTTGTATGTCATAGTTGCACATCCTTCTAGTTGCTGTATGTGGCACGCGGCCTCAGCGTGGCCGGAGAAGCGGTGCGTCGCTGCGCGCCCTGGATCTGAACCTGGGCCACCAGTAGCGGAGCGCGCGCACCTAACGGCCAAGCCACGGGGCCGGCCCCCCAAGTATGTCTTAAACAATTCTTTTCCCTTCAAACCAGCATGCATTCCGGGTATGCACTGTCGGGTATAACTTTAGACTGTTACCTAGAACAGTTATCTTCCCTCCCCACCCCCTTTCTTTTCCTCTTTGACATTGACTAGAGACCAATTCAGATTTTTTTAATTGAGGTAACGTTGGTTTATATTATATAAATTTCACATGTACATCATTATATTTCGACTTCTGTGTAGACTACACCACCAAAAGTCTAGTTTCCATCCATCACCATACAAATGTGCCCCTTTACCCCTTCTGCCCTCCCTCCACCTCCTCCCCCCTTTCCCTCTGGTAACTACCAATCTGTTCTCTGCATCTATGTGTTTGTTGTTGTTTTTATCTTCCACATATGAGTGAAATAATATAATATTTGTCTGTCTCTGTCTGACTTATTTTGGTTAGGATAATGGATGGACCTTGAAGGTCCAGATGTCGCAAATGGCAAGATTTCATTTCGTATATGACTGAGTAGTATTCTTTTTTTTTTTTTTTTGTGAGGAAGATCAGCCCTGAGCTAACATCCATGCTAATCCTCCTCTTTTTGCTGAGGAAGACTGGCTCTGAGCTAACATCTATTGCCAATCCTCCTCCTTTTTTTTTCTTTCCCCAAAGCCCCAGTAGATAGTTGTATGTCATAGTTGCACATCCTGCTAGTTACTGTATGTGGGACGAGGCCTCAGCATGGTCAGAGAAGCGGTGCGTCGGTGCGCGCCTGGGCTCTGAACCCGGGCTGCCAGTAGCGGAGCGCGCGCACTTAACCGCTAAGCCACTGGGCTGGCCCTGGCTGAGTAGTATTCTGTTGTGTGTGTGTGTGTGTGTGTGTGTATATATATACCACATCTTCTTTATCCATTGATCTGTCGATGGGCACTTAGGTTGTTTCCAAGTCTTGGTTATTATAAATTATGCTGCAGTGAACATAGGGGTGCATGTCTCTTTCTGAATTAGCGTTATCCATGTTTGGATAAATACCCAGAAGTGGAATAGCTGGATCCTATGGTAGTTCTATTTTTAATTTTTTTGAGGTATCTCCATATTGTTTTCCATAGTGGCCACACCAGTTTACATTTTTACAAGCAGTGTATGAAGGTTCCATTTTCTGCACATCTTCTCCAACACTTAGTATTTTTTGTCTTTTTAATTATAGCCATTCTGACGAGCAGGAGGTGATATCTCATTATGGTTTTGATTTACATTTCCCTAATAATTAGTGATGTTGAACATCTTTTCATATGCCTGTTGGCTGTCTATATATCTTCTTTAGAAAAATGTTGAGATCCTCTGCCAATTTTTTTTTTTTGGTGAGGAATACTGGCCATGAGCTAACATCCGTTGCCAATCCTCCTCTTTTTGCTGAGGAAGATTGGCCCTGAGGTGACATACGTGCCCATCTTCTTCTATCTTGTATATGGGACACTGCCACAGCATGGCTTGATAAGTGGTGCGTAGGTCCACGCCTGGGATCCGAACCCGCGAACCCCGGGCCACCAAAGCAGAGTGTGCCAACTTAATCACTACACCACCGTGCCGGCCCTTCTCTGTCCACTTTTTAAACAGGTTTTTTGCTTTTGGTTGTTGTGGAGTTGTGTGAGTTCTATATATAGTTTGGATATTAACCCCTTATTGGATATATGATTTGCAAGTATCTTCTCTCCATCTGTAGGTTGTCTTTTGGTTTTGTGGATGGTTTCCTTTGCTGTGCAGAAGCTTTTTAGTTTGATGTAGTCCCATTTTCAATTTCTTTGTAGATTGTCCCATATTCTGGGTTCGGCTGATTGCCTCCTTATGTTATTGATTTTAACTTATTTCTCTATTCCTTATATTTTCTGTAAATTGGAAGTTGGGTCTAAATATTTGATTAGATTCAGGTTTAACATTTTTGCAAGAATATTTCATAGGCAAGGCTATATATTTTGCGATCATGTCAAGAGGCACAATGTCTTGTCCTGTTCTTAGTCAAACTTGGTTTGGTGTGTTGATTAAGGTACTATCTTTCATTTTAAAGACTTCAGCAGTTTATACTTAGCTTCCGTGTCATTCTCAACAAGAGAAGAACGTATTTAATACAAACAAATTAGGATTCAGGTTGCTTAGGAATTAAATTTAGTAATCTTAAAGTTTTTCAGTTTATCACGTGTGTTTTTCTGATTTAAGGTCACGCTTATCATTTTGTTGTTAAATGTCCTTTTTATAATAATGTTTTAAAATCCTGGCACTTAACATGCAGTTAGAGGTGTATCTCACTCATCCTTTTCTTTTTTCAGTTTTACGTGAGTCTGCTGAGAGCCTCTGATGAGTTTCCACTGTTGTTGACGTTACATTTCAATGGTTAAGGACCAATAAGTAAACTGCTTTTGCTTTGCCTGGTGAACTTCGTATGCGTAGGTCACGCTGTGGATAATTTCGTTGCTTTCTTTGTTTCGGATCTTTATTATAGAGCAATGGAGGAACAAAGCGGCAAAAGATATCCCATCAGAATTATATCGCCTATCAAAAGCAAGTTATTCGGCGGAGTATGCGACATAGAAAAGTTCGTGGTGAGAAAGCACTTCTTGTTTCTGCTAATCAAACATTAAAAGAATTGAAAATTCAGGTGAGGAAAATGTAATATTTGTTTCAGTATGCTCTGGACTTAGAGGGCCTTCCTGAATCCCTGCTTTCCACCTGTGTTTACATATGTATCTGTGTTTTTCTTCAGGGTTGACCTTTTAAACCTCTGTCTACTCATAGTTTTAGCCGTTGAGAGAGGTCTTTTTTGATTTCAGAATGTTGTCTGAAGGACCCCCAAATGAAAATAACTTTCATTAGATGTAAGGTTTTCAAAATAGCCAAGAATCTTTCTGTGAGGATGAAAGTGCTTTTGGATTCTGAAAACTTGTGCAAGACCTGAGTCACTTTCCAATAATGAGAAGCAGTGAGAGCCATTTAATTTACATGTCGAGGTTGTTCCAGAGTAATTGTTCCCTCCTTTTATTGTGCTGCATTTTCTTCTTTGGCCACTTCATAGGTATTTGAGCCAGTTACCAGGATCTGTTATGAAATTTAAGGGGAGATAAAAGGCAGCTACTCACTTGTTTATTCACTTGGATGAGTCACAACTTCTTTTTATCACAGTATTTTTGGTGTCAAATAAGTCTCTTTGATAGAATTTTAAAGTTACCTTTACCTCTTTTAAAGTTACCTTTACCTCTCTTTAAAGAGTCGTGTTTTCTAAATTGTTTTTTAAAGATTCGTTCTAGATCATTTCCTCTCCACCGTCCCAAAAACACACATTGCTTTGGAAATCAATTCAGTGAAGGCAATGTAGGCATTATGAAAAAGCTCCATGATATTCTTATTTCTTGGTATCAATACTAAAGTACTATAAATGAGCATGCCAATGGTATATCTCAAAACCTAGGCAAAAGTGGCTGATAAATTCAAGATGTCCATGAAAAAAGTCTGGCCCCTAATCTGTTTCAGCCACTGATACGTATCCAAAAAGTTGACCAAATTTCCCTCTGTGCTACTTTCATGTGGCGTAGTTTACTGGTTATGCATTTTTTTCTTGTTGCTGATATTTATCATTGTAATTGAGGCAAAAGTACAGGCTTTCTTTGAGGGTGTTATGTGTCCCAGATTGTCCTGGGAGCAGTATTTCCCTTGGTTGAACCCACGGCTCTGAAAATAAACGTATTGGCATAATATCTTTGCTCTGTTATTGTACCTTCTACATCTAAGAAAGCTTGTTTCTGTCACCGGCTTTCTGCCTGTCAGTGGTAAACCTCGAACACTCAAAACTTTTAAATTACAAAAAGAGCCCCTGTGATAAGGATCTTCAAAAAGCCTGTGCTTTTATTATGGACGGCCATTTTTGATGAATAAATCGAAAGTCAGCAGAAATAGCCTCTATCGGGGAGCGTGTTACCTGCACAGATGAATTGTTAGAAGGCAGCCGCAGCCGTTCAAGTGAAAGCCCCAAACCTGCTGTTCTCGGACAGCTCCTTTGCATTCTCCTCTCTCTCATCTCCCACTCTCACTTCAAAGACCACCGTGATCCAAACAGAGTCAAAAGCAAGGGCGCTGAAACGTAATTTCCCCTCACTGCTCAGCGCCGGCAGCTCTGAAAGCCGCAGCTACGTGAGACTTTGTCCCCAGCAGCCTGGGCAGCACTGGCGTTTGTGGTGGGCATGCGTGTGGTCCTCGGCTGCTGGTGGGGGGTGATTTTTTTAAAGGCATGTAATGTGTTTTCTGTCTGATGGAGGCTTTCCTCCAGATGATACTACATTTCCACATTAAGAGGGTGACAGCCTTTGTGAAACTATAAACGCTTTATCTAGACATGCCCATTTACTGTTGCTTGAAACCTTAAGAAACTTGCTTTGCCCAAGTATTATTCATCCATCTATGATGCCATAAAGTAAATGAAGTACAATTTATTCCTCTCCTGTCTCAGAAGATGCTCGGTGTTGAATGGTGTTATTTCATTTTCCCGAGGGTAGATTTTGAGTAGGTGGTGTTGCCTGCCTTAGAAAGGAGGGAATTTTGGCACAGAGGTTATATGGCTGGCAGTTGAAGCCATTGCTCCTTCATTTCCTTATTTCAGACACAGACTTGCGCGTGCGTGCGCGCGCACACACACACACACACACACACACACACACACCACCCTACCTGCCATAGCAAGCAGCGTAGAGCCGCTCACCTTTAGGAACAGGGTTTTCGTTGTTCCTGTTATGCTCCATAGGTCAGGAATGCTGCACTACTTGTTACACGGACCTATGTAATGTTAACTATCCTCAGGCATTCTCCTAGCACTTAGGGTTTGAATTATTGTACCAAAGACCTCCATGCCTTTGATTGGTCTGTTCCCTCATTCTGAAATACCATTTCTCCTCACGAGTAAACACTGTTCGTCTTTCATAGCACCTCTTCTACAAAACCTGTCCTGGCCTCTAGTTGTAGAGCTGACTCTTCCTTCCTCCGTGCTCTCCGAAATCCTACATGCACCTTCTAGAAGCCACCGTCTTCACTACTTGGTTTTGCCCTCACTCCAGTGAACCTCTCCAGGGCGGGTTTATTCATTTTCGTATTTCTAGCACCTAGCACAGTATTTGACACACGGTAGCTTCGTAATAAACGCTTCATCAGTTGTTGAGTGAATTTAAATGTCCTTGTATGCGTTCTCAAGGGATAAAGTATGCGCATCAGCCCCTCAGTGATGGCACAGGTGTCTGGAGGCGTTTGCTGTTTGTCCCGTCTCAGGGTAGTACAAGACCCTCAGCATTTGGAGGGGGGACAAGCGCTCCTACAGCCAAGCAGCCGTGACGTTGCGCACATTGTGCTGGCATCCGACGCCTCCGCTGGACCTGTGCTCGCTTCACGGGCCCCGTTTACCAACCTGGGGCCAGTTGCCCTGCCTGATGCCTGTGAGCTGGGCTGGCTTCGGTAGAACTGTCCTGTCAGTCTTTCTCACTTACCAGAAGAGGCTTCTTGCTGCGTAGGCAGATCATTAATGATGTCCATGCATCCTGTTTAATCAGTTTCTGCTTGCTTCTCAGGGGCTGATGTCCTTTTGAGAAGTCCAATTAAGATCTTGGCCTAACAGTTAGGGAGGCCAGTGTTGTTATCCTTGTTCTCATTTCATCTGTGTGCCATTATTAAGATCACTTTTCTGGTCACTTTCCCAGCTTAGAATGCTCTTGGGCCCCATTATACACACAGTTGATTCAGGGCTGCTTTGCTAGGCTCACATTATCTTTCCAGATTCAGAGTAGAGGAGGAGAGTACATAAAAAGGTAGAATGTTTTTCCCATAACATCACAGATATTGGTGTCATAAAAGATACACGTAATAGAATACATTCAATGAGTATGTATTATGAAGCATACTAAAATGAACACTCTTGAACTCACCCTCCAAGTTAGGAATTATTATTATTTTTTTTTTTTAAAGATTTTATTTATTTATTTTTTCCCCCCAAAGCCCCAGTAGATAGTTGTATGTCGTAGCTGCACATCCTTCTAGTTGCTGTATGTGGGACGCGGCCTCAGCATGACCAGAGAAGCGGTGTGTCGGTGCGCAGCCGGGATCCGAACCCGGGCCGCCAGCAGCAGAGCGCATGCACTTAACCACTAAGCCACGGGGCCGGCCCCCAAGTTAGGAATTAGAATGTATCATTGAAGGAGCCCAGCTCCTCCTTGCCCCCCACTGGTAATTACTACCCAGAAATGATAAAAATTTTCTGAATTTGAAAAAATGGTTAAGTATTATATAGAATAATCTCTCTGAATGTATTTAATTTTTAACACTTGGCTAGAACTGGGGTGAGGTATGTGGTCTCTACTCTTTAAGAAATTCGTATTTTGGTTCCTAGAGGCAAGACTTGGTCTAAGACTATATGACAGTCCCAAGGGCTGACTTATGTAGTCCAGGCTGCTTGCTGCAGGCATCAGAATAGAAGGAAGAGTCCAGATAGCCTGCTGGTTAATTTAAAGATGGTCTTATGAAAGAATTTGGACTTGACTTGATTATTGAAAGGATGTGGGACCTGGGCATGATGGGAGTGGCGGTGATGGCCTTACCCAAGCCTTGTAACAGAGGAACCGTCACTCCCCCTTCTGCTCCTTTGATTTTCCCGCACCCCCACCCTTGGAGAGGTGGTAAGGTGCAGAACAAAAGGATCTGTGGGTATAATTGTTCCCTAGTTCTCTACCAGACCTCCTGAGGATGTTCCCAGATATATTGGGATTATAGTCTCAGTAGGAATGTAGCAAGTGGGCTGACTGCGAACAGGAGTATCTTCTGTACTCTAAAGTCTTTTTTCTTTTTAAAGAATCCCTGCATTATTTATTCAAATAGGGCATAAGTCTCAGTATTTTGCTTTATCCAAACTTTGTTCTTTTATATTGGCACAGATCATGCATGCGTTTTCAGTTGCTCCTTTTGACCAGAATCTGTCAATTGATGGAAAGATTTTAAGTGATGACTGTGCCACTCTCGGCACCCTTGGCGTCATTCCTGAATCTGTCATTTTGTTAAAGGTAGGTAACAGCTCCTTACCTGAGGAACTCTAGAAGGTTTTCTTGATACACACCCATATGCAAATTACGGGCAGTGGTGGTTAAGGTTGCCTCGGGTCCTTGGCAGGGTGTGGTAAAAAGTGACTGCGGTGAGTTTTTGCTGGCCTCTGGATTCCCCAGCTCTGGCTGAGCCACAAGAAACTTAGAGGGGGTCACGAGATCGTTGGGTCTTGCGGGGTTTTGATAATTTTTCTTAAAAATAATAGATCTAGATTTAGCCTCCTCCCTAAATTCTGGATCAGCAGAATTACTTAACCATACTTCTACTATTAAAGTATCACTTCCTTTCCTCTTGGCTCAAAAGTACCAGCCAGTCAGGCTGGGAAACAAACAAAGACACGAGGCTTGGCCACAACAGTTGAAATACTTTTGGTTGGCTTAATGGGGTGTGGAAATTTGCTTTGGGTAGAATGGATTTAGAAGAGGTGGAGGTGTTTGAGAAAGTAGGGGTTTCTGAAAAGTTGTCAAAGGGAAGAATCATTGAACCAGCCTCATTAGCCCGATCCTACCCTCCCTAAGGATCTCATTTCATCACTTCCCTTTGCCTCTTTTGTTTCTTGGTGGCCAGAAGCATTCCCACTGTGCGAAAGACCACTGCATTATGTGGTAGAGTAGTAGTCAGGTTTTTGAACTGTGAAATGTATACTTTTCATACCCTGGAGCCTCAATTCTGGTGAGATAAAGTTAGGCCCTGGAAATGATGA